CTCACCATCTCACCATTTACGCCGCGACGCCTGAATCCCCCGCAAAATTAATACGGCGATACCATCAGCTCCGTCATCATTGGGAAAGAGCTCTCCGAGCCGTTGATACCAAACAAGGTTTCAGAACGGGCGACTACCTCTATCTATCTTTAAACCTGGATCAGATAATATGAGCCGCAGAATTGAATCGCTCAGATAAAATTTTTTTACAATTACGTACAATGCTGGCGTATGCGGACGACACCGACAGAGGCTGTGATCGGACTTAAAAAAAAAAAATTTGTGTGGTAGAGTCTGGAAAAAAAAACGTGGTAGATTTAAAAAAAAATGGTTTTGGATCAAACTTTGTATAAAAATTAAACATATTCTGCAAGGTTTCATCTAAATTGCAAACATTTTAATTCAAATCTAAAAAAAAATAATTTTAGTAGTAGAATAAAGTGCAAGACTGAAGTTGCTAAAAATTCCGTTGAGTTTTGGCAATTTTTTTCCTTAAGAGTGTAAAGCAGTTCCTTCCATATCAAGATATTTTTCGAACATATTTTTCTGCAACCTTGCGGAGTGCTGCCAGCTTTTCTTTTTTTCACATCACGATGATGCGAACAAGTGTGGCACGTTCCAGAAGCCGCTACTTGGGATTTGACGATTTTGACAATTCTCAAGTAAAAGTAAACAACGCTTTAGAAACTTTAGATGCATTGAAATTTTCTAGTGCTTTCACAAAAATCGCCACTTTTTAACATTTTCGCTATTAATCCTTTTTTATAAATCTTATATTTTGCAATTTAACACAATAAAACCATGTTTCCTGTCGAAAAATTGAATATTGAGAAAATTTACTATTTTACGGTTTATTTTATCCTGCCATTCTGCCTGTTGTTAGTGTTTAGTATTGGACAATTTTTGCTCTTAAAAAGAAGAAAATTATTTCGAGCAAAAATAAAACTACTCAAAAACGCGAATAAGTAGTAGATTTCATACCTTGTGTGGTAGATGTGGTAGATGCTCAAAAACGTGGCAGAGCTACCACAAGGGGCTAGAAGTACGAACTCTGAGTAGAGGTAGGTGGCGACCGACTACTCCCTATGAATGCCGTTGATCACTCGTCGGTACGTTTTCGGGTCCAGTGGTTGGTCGATGTAGGTCTGTAACGCGAGAAAGCTCGGAGCCGTTTTTAGTAAAATCAAATCTGTCTTTTTTTTTAAATTTTTTCCCCTCAGTGTAGGTTTTTAAGGTTTGATCTCGGAAGTTTAATGACGACTTTCGACCACTCATATAATTCGCCGACCACCGTTTGAGCCCGTGTGGGTGTCAAACGCTTTTGACAAGTCCAACAAGTAAAGTCCTCATCATGCCCGTGCTGGTGCCTTTCGCAGAAGCATGGACTGTTCAAAAGGACTGTTAAATGAACGGTCAAAAGACATATAGTCTCACACAGCCGTAGAAAAAAATTAAATAATTAAGAGTTGTATGAAAAACCAACACAGCGTGAGGTGTGTCCACAAGGTGTCCGTCACAACTAACGCAATCAGCAAGCCGTGTTGCCTATGATGCATTGCGGTAGCGTTTCTGTCGCAAGCAAGCCACATGCTATCCCACGAAGATTCCATATGTGTGTACTGTTTATGCATACGTACTACACTAGGCGACAAATGAAAGTGTACACCTTGTTCTAACATAATATTCATGAAACATTTTGTGCGTTAATTATTTATGAAATATATTTTGTTATATATCCAATATAAACCATATGAATTAAAGTTTCACACTTTAAATGAAGTTCACAAAATGTCAAAACAAAATAAAAAACAAAATTTAATTTTTTATTCGTAAAATCTTATTTCTAGAAAATTTTCGAGCATGCAGTTTTGCAACCCATACAATTTTAGGCTAACGAAGTGCAAGTTTCAAGCGGCTACAAAATCTCGTTGAATTTTGAGAATTTTTTTTTTTAGACTTTTTCCGTATAATCATGAAATTCTTATAAAATAAAATGCGGGAGAACGTTAGCAACAAAATTTCAAAAAATCAACGCCAGTTTCTTGTAAATTGCACTTGTTATATAAAAAACAAAAAAAAAACGCTAAAGCAATCTCAAAAAAAAAAAATAAAAAATTCTCAAAAATCAGCGCGGTTTTTAAGCTGGTTGAAACTTGCACTTTATTAGACTAAAATTGGATGGGCCACAAAACTGCATACTCAAATATTTTTTAGAGATTCTGAATAAAAATTTGAATTTTTTGAGGAAAATTTTTTGAATTTTTGTGAACTTTATGTAAAGTGTAAAGCTTTGATTTATATGGTTTATATTACAGAATGAACTATATTTTCATAAATAATTAATGCAAAAATTGTGTCATGAAAATAACTGTGAATATTATATTAAAACAAGGCGTCCACTTTCACTTGTCGCCTAGTTTATGTACACACAAAGATGTAGCCAAGCGTGACAGCTGGGAGTTAGAGGTCATGAACGACGCCGCGAACGTGAAGCTATTTCTTTAGTATATGTATGTACTATTATTTCTTCCTACGGTGGGTATTATACGCATAGGAGCTGTTTGTTTATTATTTGTTACTTAACTTTTTTTCTATGTTTCATTGTTTCTTCTATTCGTTTGTGTGCCTTTCGCTAGCTTCGTGTGCACCAGATTTTTAGTTTTTTACTTTTTGCCGCACTATAGATACGAATGTTTGATTTATTATTGATGTGACAGCCATGCCATGCCATGCCATGCCACGTATTTCTTGCCGCTTGTACTATCAGCTTTGTTCACCTCTGTCGCGGTGCTATAGAATTTGTTTATCGGCGGCGTTTCCTTTAACAAATTAATAACAATAACAATTCTAAAAACTTATCGGCAAAGCTTCCAAGCAGTGACTATTGACAGTGGAATTTCATGCGCTTATGCATCACAAAAGGAAAAATACTTAAGAGCAACAATAAAAAGAAACAGAAATGGCGATTCACTCGCGACTAAATCTATGCATTTTTAATAAAATTAAATGAACAATGAAACATCTTGTTAGCGGCGATTATTCTTCACACAATCTCCACCGGCTGGCTTTTTACTTTTACACACATACATGTACACTAAAACTCAATTCATCATGAATGTTTATGAGGTGAGGCGCGGTTTCGGGTATTTTGAAATATGCCAAACAAGGTCAATGTTAAATGCTTTTATTGTCTTCATTTATTGTAAATATAATAAAGTTTACAAAATTACGTTGTAATTTATTAATTGAATTACGTCAAAGCAGCACTTGGACGTAGCGTTCGCCAAAGCAAAACAACGAAAATAACTTGTTTGTTTACTAAATATGAAAATATGTAGTAAGTTGTGACTTAATGTTTTAATTATCAAATTGGCCTACGTGAATGTAAGAAAAAAATTTCGCTGTCTATTTTTTAGGGCAAAAAATATAGGCAGATTTTGACTTTTATTTTATTAACAGAAAATAATTTGTCATTTCGCATTTTTCTATTTAGATTTTTGGGAAAATAAAAATTCCAAAACTCTCGAAAGAGGTTTCGAGAAGTCTGAAAAAGGTCGCGAAGCCGAAAAATAATGCACAAGTACTAACGAAAAATCCTGACAAGTATCGAAAATAAAAAAAAAAAATCCTAAAGATGTCGAAAAAATACATACAACACGAAGATTGCTGAAAAATGCCCACAAGATATATGGAAATATTCCGCAAAAGCTCCGCATATAGCAAAACACCCAGTGCACCCAAAAGTCCCGAAAAATTTTAGAATGGTATCGAACAAATCTCGAAAAACCCCGAATCTCGAAAAATCGAATCGAAAAATCGAGGAATCTCGAAAATATTCCGAAAAGCCATACAAAAATTTCTGACGAAAATACCTAAATCGGGTGACCCTGAAAGATCCCGAAAAATTTACACAGGAAAAATTACGAAAAGTATCGAATAAAACAATAAGGTACCGAAAAAAAAATGTCGAAAAGCAAAACACGATGCATTACAATAAAACGCAATAAAAAAAATAAAACCCGATAAAGCCGTATTTCTTGTTCAATATCTGAAAGCAACTTTTTTTTTAGTCTCAACTAAACTAATATCTAACGAACTAGATAATGGAGGTATTTATTAACGACATCACATATTTGAGAAACTTATCGACTGATCCCTTAAAAAATATACTAGGATAATCTGGAAACCTAAATTTTAGCCGCTCTTCCGTTAAGCTTCGATCCAGCCATGCAAAAATTTGAGCTTTCCTCCAAATGACTCCAGAATTATGTATTAATGGAACACTGATCCACATATTTTTAAAAACAGTTCTCCATTTAATCGAAAAAGACTATTTAAAACCATTACACATACAACATTTATCTAATGAAAGGTATTAGTTATTTTAAAACACAAATATTTTTTAATTGGACTAATAACTGAACAGCCGCAGCTGTTCAGCTCCTAACCCATTTTTTATATGGGAAAATACACCAAATGCAAAAAGCAAAGTTATGATATCCGAAATGTTTATCAAAAAGGTCAGATGAGTTATCCACAATTCGGTTGCTCTCGAATACTTCCTGATGAGAATTTAATATGACTATGTGAAGTTTTGTACGACCGAGAAGCGCGCTCACAGAGAAATGAAAATTTTGGGGTTGAATTGACTTCTTGGGCATATTAGCAAGCAGAACAATAACAATTGTCGACTTTTCTAAAACAGTTAAAAAATGGCTGATTGTAGTGTACACTAGCAAATACCCGGCGTGCTTCACTGCACAAACATACGGACAGACAGAGAGACAAAAATTCTAAAAATTGTGGTTTTGGCTGATTGAAAGTTATACTTGTACAATGGAAAAATCCTATCATTCTCATGTTGATGGTCTACCTTTTGGTAAGCTTAAATATCCTTTGACTTACTTATATCTAACTGAGGTTATAGGTACGTAGAACTACCCTTACGTAACATAGTTCATATAAGTACATTAAAATTTTTGTATGCATACATAACATACCTTTATGCAAGTGCGGAAAATTATGCGCAGCAAACAATTGCCATTGTAGACATGTTTTCTGATTTCAAAACTGTCGATTATCCTGTAAAAAGAATAATAAAAATTTTTTAGAATATCTGTAAGACGCATACAAAAATAACATAATCAGCCTAATCGTGAGTTTCATTTTCCCCAAACCGGTTCACTTTTACCTTTTGGTTTTCAGGTATTTACTATGGGCGGAATAGAAATTTTCGGGTGAACTTTTTTTCGGGCGAAACTCAGGATATGGCAGATTTTCTTAGAAACATGAACATATGTGTAATGTGTATGTACTTATCTAAATATAAAAAATATGTTTATAATAAAAATATATTTAAAAAAAATTTCTCTAAGTATGCACCAAAGCAGGGGTTCCCAAATATCTCGACGACTGCGCCGCCTATTGGACAAATTTTCTGTTGAGTAATTCCTTTTTTATAAGTAATATGTTGGTGGGATATTAATTGCAAAATTCCAGGACAAGTGAAGTTAAATAAAGGCTTGCAAAAACTTTTACTTTCAAAATATTTAAGCGAAACGCAACCCACTTATACTCTAAAAAAAAAAAATAATAAATAAAACTATAAAATAAATAAAAAATTTCATTAAAAAAAAAAAACGTTTAATGCGCAAAGCAATTTTTAATCTCCTGCATCCATTCATTGAAATTATAGTTGTACATACTTTTCTGATATGGCATCACACAATTCCAAATGCATTAAAATTGCATTAACAGCTTGTGGCCATAGTCACCGCCAAAAAAACACGCTCGCAAGTAACTTATACGCATGAAAATTGCACGCGCACTCGCAGAGCTCGCCATATCACAAGTATGTGCATTTAATGGTTTTATTTACGTATTAAGCAGCCTTGTGCCTAAAACAATAAACAAATGAAGACAAACTACACAAGAAGTAGGTTGATGGCAAAGGGCAGCACACTTAGAGGTGAGAGGGATCAATATCGAAAATACTCGTACAAATGCGTCGCTGCAATTGTCCGTTGTCTGCTCTGCTCATTAAAATGTGTAAGTGCCTTTAAGTTGAAGTACTTTTGGGTCTTAAATCAATTAATACATAATTAAAATGCAAATGGAAATTTAAAAGAAGTTGAAAATACGAAATAATTTAGACAAAACTGTTGACAAATGCGTTTTCATAATGAAAGAGAAACGAAATAAAGAGAAAAAATTCATGATGAGTGTAAAAGTGAGGTTACATGTGACAAAAAAGTACTCTTCCAACGCATTTTGCTTTCAGATTGTAAAAGTGAAATATTAACCTTTTTGTGAAAAAAAAAAATTACCTAGATAATAGTAATAAATTTGATTTTCCGGATTTCACAGTTTCTATAATGGTGTGCAATCGAATAATGCTACCATCATTATTTTCTCCATAAAAATGACAAGGCACAAATGGATGGATACCTTGGCGACAAAGTCTCTGGGAACCCACACTCTGATAAAGCTATACTAAAGACCAGGTCCTCAATATGGGCTTGAGTAAAGCTCATGGACAAGGCATCAAACCCAAGATGACAGTCTGCATATACGAAACCATAGCCTAACCCATACTAACATATGCTGCACCTGTCAGGTGAAAAAAAATGGGCGGTGAGCTGAAAAAACTGCAAAAGCTGACTTGGATAGGAATCCCCGGCGCAATGAAAACTACGCCTGCTGTGGTCCACGTGGTGCTATTAAGCATAATGCATATCGCCCTCAAGAAAGAAGTCCTGCTTTTCACAGCAAAGCTCCCTTCAGGAGGAAAATTGGTGAATAAAAAGCTGATAAACCCCCCTTCAACTTTCAGTTTAATAGATTAGATAACTTCCCGAGATATATTTTTAAATTAAAGACCTCAACTTCGGCATGGCAGGCCGGACCAGAGAGTCGGTGCAGGGGTTTATGATTTGCAACGCAGAAGGCGCCTATTCAGCGACATATGGAAGCACAACTCTGCATTCAAAGACAGAGGGCTGGCCACAGAATTGCCTGAAGGCAGTGGTGAAAGAGCAAAGAGCAGGCAGCGTTCTTCGTTGGTTCCTTGGTCACGGTGGTTACAAGGGCAACGACTTCGCTGGAATACCAAAAGGCGAAATTGACGGAAATAGATACATATGTACATACTTGAATTGCCACATAGTTTTAAGCTTGTAGTTGTTGCTGCATCTATGTACATATGTATGTGAGCAAAACTCACGAGTTGTTGAATTTTTCCACAAAAACGTGTTTTTGGGTTTTTGTTTCGCAACTCATCGTCATCTTATAATCCATGTAAGTTTTTTTTATTTCATTTGGTGACACACTAGTTTTATTACTCTAGATTTGTTCGTTTTAGCAAGAAGAAAATTTTCAGTGTTTAATGATGGCATTTTGAAGTATCTTAAACTTTTAAAATGAAAAACATCGTCAAATTTCAAAAAATACACACTAGCTGCTGTCATTTTTTGTTTTCATTTTGTGGCACGCTCTTGAAACTTCACAGGTATGTTGTATTAGATGCTGACTTCCAATGCCTCTAGTATGAAAATTCTATTTGAAAACTTCCCAAAGTTGAAAAAAAAACAATTATAATTTTTTCGAGTGACAATGAAGAAATGAGTAATTTCGGTACTTTTTCACCTAAAAAAATGTATAAAGAAGGGAGTGACACTAAAAATAAAACAACTCATAAGATTTGCTCATGTTTGTAAAAGTACCGGCGAGAACAACTATACAAGTACAAATATACGAATAAAATAATACGAGTACAAAAATACGAGTAGGACAACTTTTAAGATCCACGCGCCATACAGTAATATTTGGTACCCATTTCGTGCCCATAAATCCAAAAATAAATACGTGGGGTACTGAGCCTTAACCAAAACCATATAAACCAAAATTTTAAACTTTATGCAGAATTTAAAAAAATTAAAAAATTTTCATCAAAATTTTGAACCTTTTAAATCCCGTGCAAAGTGCAGGTTTTAGGCGGCTTAAAAATTGCACCCATTTTTAATAATTTTTTGGACGGGTCACTTTAAAATCATTTAAGCATTATTTATTTTTTCTGCAAAGATAAAAGTTAAATTTCTCAGACACCCTGTAAGATAGTTCGAAAGTTAACAGCATAACTAAATTCATGTCCCCAATTTGACTAAAAGTAAAATCAATCAACTGGTTTTTATTAATGATCATCCTCTAATAATTTATTATACAAATTTGCAAAAACAACAGAAAAATATGAAACTAAAGTTCGCTCAGTCGCAAAAAAATTTAACCAACTGGTTTAACTATGTACGTCGAAAACTATGGCCAATTTATGCGTTCATAAATTAATATGCAAAAATATTTAAACGCTTTCACATGAAACGACATAATCAAAGTGAAAAAAGAAGAAGAAAAACCGACGACATCAATAAAAACCACTCGTCTGTGGAATTATCGAACAAGTTTAATGAAACAACTGCATGAGAGACATTCCCCGCTCGGCTGACTAAATTTACCCTAAATATTTGTACTATGTATGCTCATTAGGGTGGTCCAAAAATGCATAATAAATATTAAAGTCGGAATTTTTATGCTCTCACCCCCTAGGATTGTTCTATACCGAAAAAAATATCGAGCCCTAACCGCCAAATAACGTAAGCGATATTTTTTTCAAAATTTTCTTTTTGATGCAGAAATGCATCTAGATGCTCTAGGAATATTTCTGCATCAAAAAGAAAATTTTGAAAAAAGTGTCGCTTATGTCATTTTGGCGGTTAAGGCTCGATATACCTCCATTTATTTATTTTGAAATCAAAATATATTTCCATCTATTTGGTATGGAGAAAAACATCTATTTTGTATGGAACAAAACTTGTCTGCAGAAGATTCCCAGTAATAATAACAAATTCTTTATTTAACTATTTTTTCATCGCAACTATAATTTATAGGTCCGCCGAAAACCCACAAAAACCCCGAAAAATGCAAAAGGGGGACCAATAAAAAATCGTTAGTATTAAAAAATGTTTAAAGAAATAATTGGGTTTGATGACTGAAAGTCTCCTGAAGAGAACCAGAGTTTTCCGATCGAAAATTAGTTGATTTTCAAGAATTCTATACCATTTCTACGAAAAGTTGTTTTTCCCCATATAAAAATACATGGAAAACTTTGAGCGCTTTGAACGACGACTTAAAATTTTTTTGATTTCAAAATGAAAAATATGAGTATACTTTTTTCTGGTATAGAACAATCCTAGGCGTTGAGAGCATTACAATTTCGACTTTACTGTTTTTGGACCACCCTAATGTACATACATATAACTATGTATAATAAGTCTATTGATAATTTAGAAGTGTGAATGTTTTGTTTTTTGTTTTTTTTTTTGCTACCAATGAACCTAGTAGAATCATAAGCCATTTTTGATTATCGTCAAGCATTTAGCTTCTTAATCGGCTCACCCAACCAGTTATTTACTTGGTACATTCATTATAGCCGAATTTGCGGCATACTTTTAAAATTAATTTATTCACCTCTAATAATAATAAAAAAAAACAAAGTGTTTGTTATGCACATGACGTCGTTGTGACGTCAAAACACAAACGATAATTCATAATAGCAATACCTGTTGATACAACAATCAAAAGCAATAACAAAAGCGAAACAAACAAGAAATTTAAAAATAAAAAGTTGGCAAGAAAGAGTTAAGACAATGTGTGTAGAGAGGTAATAAGAATACATACTTAACAACATCGTATGTGCACGTATGTATTTACGCTGGAAAAATTTGAGGACCAGGTGGTTCACTGGGACGTACTTTTAAAGTAGGTGCAAAAGGACCAGGTTCATGGCCCATCGCCGATATGATTCGGTCGGTTGCCGAATGTGAATATTATTGAGGCGAATTTTATTAAATTCATTTTAAATAATAAATTTTACTATTTTAATTTAAACAGCACTTTTAAAAGTTATCAAATATTCGATTTATACAAAATCTTATGAAGTTCAGTCTATGGTCCAAAAGTAGTAGTAGTATCTCAGTAAGTACGATTAAAAATGTTAAGATATACTAACTTACGTATGTATGTATGTATTT